TAATTAGTAACCGGCAGAAATATCTGGTATGAAAAGCGTCGTTACATTATGTCATAATTCTATGAACTGTCTAGTTAAAACGTATAAACTGAGATATAACCGCTGAAAACATCGTATCCCAGCAAATCGACCGACTGTTATCTATTATCTCATTGTCAGCGACATGACAAGAAGATAAATAGCAGTATATGCTTATTAACTAATTCTATACACTGATATGGATCTAATTTCTAAAACATAAATGATTGTATTTTTTACAATCGAGATATAACGTTTTTACCAATTGCATTCCAGCCTATATGCTGATTTTCCCGTTTGATTTCGCGCGCGTGATTCCATCACGCAACGCGCAGTCGCGATGGGTTGCAGAGCGTTGCGGCGCAGCGCGCTGGCCGGAACCGGTTTGTTCTACGAGTTGGCATCCGGTAGCATTAACTACCGTGCTTTTGGCTCGAACGCGGTTTACGTTCTTTTCTTTTTTTTTTTTTTCTTTTTCTTCTCCAGTACACTTTTTCCAGACATGTTACAAACAGCGATAAAATTGACAGAGTGAAAATCGTCGATCGATGCAACGTGTATGGTTGAAAAATTCAAATTGAAACATCTTTAAGTCTAAAATTGGCGCAATCGTTCGCGTTTAAGGTTTAATGTAACTTGGACGAAGAAAATTTTTCAGTTCGGGAACCGCGAAAGAGAAAGCGTTGAGAAATTTTATCGGATCGACGTGTCGCAAGATAGAGTTGTTTGGCAAAAAGTCAAGCCGTCGTGGTTTCGTGACGCTGCTTTTCGCGGGAAGAGAAGGCAAGCCATTCGCTCGAAACGCTAGTATTATATTTTAGAATCGTAGTGGATTTATAAGATAAGATCGATAAGAAAATGAATAGCAAGTGCAATTTTCTTTCTTTTCAGATTTTGTTATATATATAGCAGTTCAACTTTGATTAAAAACAGTGATTTCTACAGTAGTACGATTTATTCTTTCACTACTGCTGCTACTACACGTTCTGTTTCTACTTCCGCTTCGATACGATAAACGAATGAGCAGTATATGCTAATTTTCACATGGCACAGTGAAATATTGGTTAACCCGTTTATATTTTTCAAGTCATTTTCGATCTAATTGTATTTTCTTATAATAATAAAAATTCCTCGAATTTGAACAGAAAATAAAAAAAATTATTATTAATATTTTATGCTAAAATCTTTTTATTTGTTAAATCGAAAACGAGAGCACAAAAATTAGAGCGGGCTTAATCCATGAAAATTATTTATATATATGTATATATAATAATCTCTCACATAACCCTTGCGTGAAGATTAAATGTGCAGATTTCTTTGAAATTTATTTGATATATAAGCCTAATACCTAATTTAGAGTTTGCATGATTTGATCGTTCGACTTGCAAAGGTGGAATACTTGAGGAAAAAGAGAGAGAGAAAGAGAGCGTAATAGCAGCAACGTAGGAAAGAGGAGATTATCGCCGCATTGACTGTGGCAATAGGGAAGTGTCGGTCGGGCGTCCCGAATATACTTGTAGTGGATATTTTCGATTCGAGCCGATTGCACAACTCTCTCTGCTTGGTTAGCACGCGCATGCTTCTCTGCGTACAGCGGTTATTCAACGACGACGTAAGTATACGTGCTTTGACTCGTCTTGTTTCTGCGTCGTAATTAACGTCTCTGTCTTTAATCGTCGGCTTCACGTGTTTAAATTACCGTCAACTATAAATTACGACTCGTTTGAACAACCTTGAATCGAAAGGTCTGCTCGATAGAAGCGAAGTTGCCAGGTATATTACGTGTAGTACACGTGTGCATCATTGTATCAAGGCTGAGTCGCGATTACCGACGGAAACAAAATTGCGATTGATATAAGCGGAAACTGTCGAAAGAGGTACGCGCAGCGCAGCGCCACTGTCAATTCGTAGAGATTTCGCCAAGTTTATGCGCGCGCAACGATGCGGTTAAAAGAAACGGTCGAACGCGGTCTCGAAACGGTTGGGAAGAATTGAGCAATGTGATCAATTTTTATCTTATTTGTTAAGTACACCATGGCTCATAAATATTAAGACATCGATTGATTTCGTATAAAAATGTGATTATTGACATGAATTACTAGGGAATAATCATAATAGATAATATAAATATAGAGATATAATATTTCAAAATATGCAATATACACTACATATGCAAAATACAGAATAAGATATTTAAAAATAAAATTCTTAGAAATGATTTAAAAATAATCATTTATCATACTGGATTTAATTTATTTTTATAAATAGTTTTAAATTTTTTATTTGCGATAATTGCTTAGAAGTGAAAATAATTAATTAATAGTTATGCATTAGCTTTTATAATTTATTGATTTATAATCTATTGAGAAAATCTATGATAAATTAGATAGAATCTCGTAGATAATCTGAAGATTTGAATTTAATTTATTAAATTATAATATAATATGCACATATGGATGAATAATAAGAAATAAAATCTAATGTGAATTCTAAAAATTTGTTTAAAAATATATTAAAAAATCTGAAAAATATTTATATTTAATTTTATTATATTTAATTTAATTATTAATATATTACATAATTAATAAAAATTGTATAATTAATATCAGTTTTAAATCGATTTTTTGTAATATAAACTTCTAAAAAAAATAAGTGTTAAAAATAAATCTTCATCTTTGCTTAATTCTTTTATAAATATTATAATATGAATAAAAGTATATATTATTCGCGCAAATTTAAATTTAATTAAATTATTATATCAACTTATTAAGTACTATACTTTATTAGCATTTATATTATTAGGAAAAAAAATTTGTATTGTTTTCTTTTTCCTCTTCTTTTCTTTCTTTCTCTTCTTTTTTATTTTTACTTTCTCTTTTGATTTATTTTTATACTGCTTGGGATTGTTTCTTGATTCATAATAATAATATGAAAATACATCACGTCATAGATTTGAACGAATCAATCGAAAAACATTTTGACGCTAAACATTTTGTTCATCGAGCTGAGCTATGCTCGTTTCGACTTGTTATCTCTTCGTCTACTAGTCTCGGAAGCCACAAAACTGTAGAGGGATAATCCATAGGTTCGAGTTGCCAACGTTTCCTTGTTCAGTTTATTTCGTTCGCGGTTAACGGTTATACGCCAGTGTCGCGTTCTCGATAAGCTAGGTGACACGCACACTTTTATCAAATGGTGAAACCGCGTTTGATCCACGTGTCCAGAAACGGGCTTTCGTGTCGCTACTTACGACACTGTGCAACGTGATCTCCGAGAACCGCACGCGAGCGGTTCGTTTTCTTTTCCTTCAGCTTTGCGATATAATATCCCCCGGCTCGTAACTTCACGCGCGCGTCTAGCGTTACCGCGCGTGGATGCACGCCCATACACGCTCATACGCGAAAGATACCACGGATCATTCGATCGATCCTTCGACCACCATGATTTCACATGGCCTAACCTTTTTTATGTGGCCGAATAAAACTTTGGTAACCGATTTATCGATATTTTTCGAGACTTTTTCTCTGTTAAATATTGTAACGATGATTATTATTAATTACTATTCTTTGATTATTAATTATAAATGATCGATATAGCGTTTTATACGTCAGGTTTTTTTTAGATATCATAGAATTTAGAAATGTTATAAAATTTTGTACACGAACAATTTAATGTTGAGATTCTTGTATGTAGTGAATTATTATTATTTAACATACATCGATATTTTTTCTTTTTTTGAGATTTTTCTTTTTATTGATTATTATTAATTAGCATCTTAGATAATATTGATAATGTCACTAATGATCGATGTTTTATGCACTCTAGATTTTTAACGAGGAATATTATTATAGAACTTATAAATATTATGAAATCTTGCTATTCGCATATAAATAATTTAACGCTGAGCTCAAGATGTATGAATTGTATAGCTGAATCATTATTATTCAAATTGTTATGATAAATATATTGTGAGATACTTGTGAAAGAAAAAGAAACAATAACACGAAGAAATCAAGAGGATGTCTTGATTATGATACAATAAATTATGGTAAATAAATAAATTTCAATTCGGGAACTTAGTGTCATTTCTTCCTCGTTCTTATCTCAATCATTTATATATAATACACATTCGGAATTAATTTATGCATTAGCTCAAAAATAAGGTAAAACAGAGATAACTGGTGAACTTTTGTTATCGAAACTAGTAGATTCGTTTATCGAGATTTACGATTGCCATGGCGGAATGTATAACAATTGACCGATTGAAAATTGAGATTAGAGCGTAATACGATTTTAATCGGAACACCAACCTTTTCTCTGTTTCAGGATACATGAACTGCAATGCCAGCACGCTGCAATCGCTCACGCAACTACACGGTGAGTGAAAACTGTCAGTTCATTCCTTTTTCTTTCCTCTTGTCTAGTTCTTTTGTTCTTTTCGTCGTTTGGCAGTTTCTTGAATGTTTCGCGACACGATGATACTTAGAGTGTGGCGTGGCATGACGCGAGTTGGCACGCCACATCACAGGAAGATTCCTCGAGAAAGAGAGAGAGAGAGAGAGAGAGAGAGAGAGAGAGAGAGAGAGAGAGAGAGAGAGA